TGAAATAGCTGTTCCCAGAACAGCAGCACAGAGACAAGAATACACAGCATGTGTTTTCATAATGCCACAAGTCCATTTTGTCATGCAGCGTTAAAATGAATACGTGATGATTATGATTCATCATGAAAGACGGTTACAAACACCCACAGCGAAGACTGGACAGTATTAGATCTGAAGCTGCATTACAGATCAGTTCTGATCAAAGCCAGCATGGACAACACCACCTACCACACAGCTACAAACCCTAACCCATTTCCTCAGTGACAACACAAAGCTCTGTACAGTTTCCAACCATATCTTAACACTCAGTCATGGACGTAATTTTCACTTTAGAAGTGGGGGGGACACCGGGGTGGGGGGGTGGGATCTTTACAGTATGCTCTAATGGGAAACAGGCTTTTCCACTTGGTCCTAGAGCTCAACCAGTGTCAATTTAATATAGCATAATATTGTTTTTGGATGATAAAAAGTGCAGGGGTCAAAACTTGACTTTGGAAAAAAGTGGGGGGGGGGGGGGGGACATGTCCCCCCTGCCCCCCCAAATTACGTCCATGCACTCGGTTCCCTTATTTTAACCTTTAACCTCATCTAGGATTTTTACTGTTCTTCTTGGGACATAAAAACATTTTTTTTTACCTTTTTAACTTAAATTTACACCATCAAAGAATCGTTGAAATGTCCACTCAAGTCTAGAGTGTGTAGTTTGACTTAATGGTATCAGTGCATAAGGAACTTATTACTGCTCTGTTCAGATCAGGACTGTTTTCAAACACTCATGACAAAATAAACAAAACATACAAACTAAATCTGTGATGGTGCATTACGACTTTTGATGGTGTTTTACTTATTGGACTGATGCCGATATTGATGTCAATATGCTGTGCCTCTCAACATTAAATGATATTTATGATGAGATGATAACAAATGGCTTTATAATAATTATTATTATTAATATTATTACTAATACTTCACACACAGACAGCATTAGACCACTGCGTGACCCTGTTCAGCTGTGATGATTGTTGTGTTTCTGTCAGCTCACCATCATGGGAACAAAGAGGACCATCTGAGGTGTCATCTCTAAAAGACCAACTGTGAGCAGACAGAAGCTGGCTCAGGGTTACGTAACTACATCAGAGCAGAGAAAACTTTCTGAGTTTCAGAGAGAACGGTGTGAGTTTGAGTCATGATGCAGACGAAAGTGGAGTTTGAGATGGGTTCCTCTTTCGGTGCGCACACCGTCTCCTCCTCCTACCGCCAGCCCAGCAGATGGAGGCTGTGTAACGTAAGCAGCGTGACTGAAAATAACTCCGTTTAATGAACATGTGTGTTTGTGTCTGGGCTTGTTCAGGCACGTCGTCCATAGTTTCAGTACGAAAGCGAGGGAACGTGTTAGCTGGTGTTAAACTCAAACACAACCAGCCCTGGTTTAATACACCTGCTCGTTAAAAACTAAAACTTACTCCGACACGGTGAGCAAACACTCACGGACATGTTTAGTAAAAATGACCCGTGGCTTCGTTTCACTCACCTCCAAGACAAAGTAGCCGGCGTTTTATTCATTAGCAGAAGGTAAATGTCCGAAATGCAACGACAGAGCTGAAGAAACCAGCCGCCTGAGTGTCAGAGTACTTCCCTCTTTCGCTGCTCCTTCTTCCTGCCTGCAGCTCCATGGAGGAACCGGGGAGGGCGGAGTCTCTGCTCCTAGCTCCCCCTAGGAGACGCGCTGGCCCCGTTCCAACCGCCTCCTACACCCCGGGGCCACACACACACACAACATCGACATATATACACACACACGCACACACACACGCACACACATATACACACCACACAGATACATATACACACACACACACACACACCATCGACATATATACACATACACGCACACACACACACACATATACACACCACACAGATACATATGCACACATACCACACACACACACACACACACACACACACACCACACAGATACAAATACACACACACACACACACACACAGATACATACATACACACACACACACACACACATACCACACAGATACATACACACACACACACACACACACACAGATACACACCACACAGATACATACACACACACACACATACCACACAGATACATATACACACACACACACACACATATACACACCACACAGATACATACACACACACATACCACACAGATACATACACACACACCACACAGATACATACACACACACATACCACACAGATACATACACACACACATACCACACAGATACATACACACACACATACCACACAGATACATACACACACACACACCACACAGATACATACACACACACACACCACACAGATACATACACACACACATATACACACCACACAGATACATACACACACACACACCACACAGATACATACACACACACACACACCACAGATACATACACACACACATATACACACCACACAGATACATACACACACACATACCACACAGATACATACACACACACATATACACACCACACAGATACATACACACACACATACCACACAGATACATACACACACACATACCACACAGATACATACACACACCACACAGATACATACACACACACATACCACACAGATACATACACACACACACACCACAGATACATATACACACACACACCACACAGATACATATACATACACACACACACACACACACACACACACACACCACACACATTTACACCACACAGATACATACACACACATATACACACCACACACATTTACACCACACAGATACATACACACACATATACACACCACACAGATACACACACACACACACACACACACACACACACACACACACCACACACATTTACACCACACAGATACATATACACACACACACCACACAGATACATATACATACACACACACACCACACACATTTACACCACACAGATACATACACACACATATACACACCACACAGATACACACACACACACACACACACACCACACACATTTACACCACACAGATACATATACACACACACACCACACAGATATATACATACACACACACACACACACACCACACAGATCCATACACACACACACACACACACCACAGATACATATACACACACATACACACACACACGCAGATCCATATACACACACACACCACACAGATACATACACACACATACACACCACACAGATACATACACACACACATACACACCACACACACAGATCCATATATACACACACACCACACAGATACATACAACAATAGCAGACCTCCTAGCGGGCGGGGAGAGCTTAAACCTGGGTCGGATCCAGGGCGCAGTATCCCGCTGTCAGCTCCAGCAGGTGATGGTGGTGTGTTTTTAATTCACAGCGGGGTAGGGGAGCTCATTCCTGGGTCAGATCCGGTCCGCAGCAGCCCGCCACAGGCTCCAGCAGGTGATGGTGGTGTTTCAAACCCTCCCAGCGGGGCAGGGGAGCTGAAACCTGGGTCGGATCCAGGGTGCAGCACCCCGCCAGGGTGATGGGTTTGATTCATATCATTAAACGCCTTTCAATGCGAACAATACAATTGAAGGAACCTCCAAATCTGAGACCGTGGTTCTCGACCGGGAAAGGGCGGCTTGCCAACTCCGGGTCGGGGGAGAGGTCCTACCTCAAGTGGAGGAGTTTAAGTATCTCGGGGTCTTGTTCACGAGTGAGGTAGGAGGGATCTGGAGATCGACAGGCGGATTGGTTCGGCGTCTGCAGTGATGCGGACGCTGAGCCCATCTGTCGTGGTGAAGAGGGAGCTGAGCCAGAAAGCCAGGCTCTCGATTTACCGGTCGATCTACGTCCCAATCCTCACCTATGGTCATGAGCTTTGGGTAATGACCGAAAGAACGAGATTGCGGATACAAGCGGCCAAAATGAGTTTCCTCCGTAGGGTGGCCGGGCTCAGCCTTAGAGATAGGGCGAGGAGCTTGGATATTCGGGAGGGACTCGGAGTAGAACCGCTGCTCCTCCGGATCGAAAGGAGTCAGTTGAGGTGGTTTGGTCATCTGGTCAGGATGCCTCCTGGACGCCTCCCTGGGGAGGTGTTTCGGGCATGTCCTGCCGGCAGGAGGCCCCCGGGTCGACCCAGGACACGTTGGAGAGGTTACATCTCCAATCTGGTCCGGGAACGCCTTGGGGTCCTGCCGGAGGAGCTGGTGGAGATGGCCGGGGAGAGGACGGTCTGGAGCTCCCTAGTTGGGATGCTGCCCCCGCGACCCGGACCCGGATAAGCGGAGGAAGACGAACACGATTATACAGAAATAGTAATGTAATGAAACAGACAGGACTCCAGATTTAAATATGAATGTATGGATTTTTTTTTCTTGCATACACACTTTATGGCCATAAAACACCGATACCACCAACAAATAATCAGTTGCCGGACAATAGGCAAAACATACATATGCTTATTTAAGTTAGCAGGTGAGTAATGTATGTGCAAGTGTTTATTTTAAATGCAATAAAATAAAATATCAGAAAAAGTAATTAGTGGTAATCATTTTGAGCTCTGACGCCCACTAGCCCCCATTTTTGGGAGCACGCCTCCTACAGCAACATTTAACTTTCAGCCATTTGTTATTACAGGCACCAACAGTGGGTCTAAGTCAATACGAGTGAGTAGCTAATATTAATGTTACTATTTATGATTTTTTTATTGCTTCTTTACAGTGAAAAGCTGCTGATGTGTAATTTTTAGGAATATTTACATGTGTATTTATGTATTTCATATATTCTGTTAACAGGAATAATTGCTGGCCCTTTGACACAAAATGTATTGATTTAGAAATTACTAAAATATTTTGAATTAAGGATACAATTCACAAGACTAGTAAACTGATGTAGACCATACACTAATCTTTAAAAAATATGCTGTAAACACAAAAGCAGAAAAATTCTGCTTTAGAAAAAAGTTCAGACAAATGAAACAACCAGCAACAACTTTTATTGGCCTTACAAATACCTTCCAAAAAAAAAATATGTCAACACAATACTACAGCCTCTTCAAAAATTCAGATGAATCCAGAGCTTTTCTGAGTTTCTCCGTGTATATGAGCAGTTTCTGTTTAGCCTCCTTGCTCGTGTTTTTTTCCACGGCATAGGACATCAGCTGCCTCTCACTAATGAGACAGAGATAAATAGCAATTAGTAAAAATGACATTCACACCTAGACGCTGTCATAAACAATGTGAAAACAATACATATAGGCATAAGCACTGTTCTTGTGTTTGTAGCGTACCTCCAGTCATACTGCAGCCCACTGCCGTACTGTTCTGTGGCTTTGTCCGTCAACATTCATGGACAGCTGAAAGCACATGGATGGTTGCCTGAGGACATCTTTCATGTAGACATTAGTCTGTCATGTTGCAGGTAACAACATATTAACCATCAGTTATATACTAACAGTAATGCTACAAAATATTTTCATGTGATACACAAACATTTTCAGAACGTACCTCTGGCAGAAGCACATCCATCATGAATGCCACTTGATTGTGACATCTGGTTGTCTGTGCTTCAACCAGGCTTGTGAAGAAGCCCACCACTCTGTCCAGCTGCTCATCCTCCTCAAAGAAAATGTCCACCCTGCCCTTCGATGTAGCCCAGGTGGATGACACTTTTCCTGCGATGATTGCCTGTAAATAGATATTTTTGGAGGATGCTCAAATTAAATGTCCAAACACTAGGTTAGCAGAAAATGTTTCACTTAAATAATTCACGAGTCATGTTTTGACTGAAATTACAGTGTGCAAATTTAATTATTAATTTAAAACTCACTTCCAGATGTAGCAGTAGGCCTTTATCCTGAGTGATAAATGATACAAGAAGATCACTGCTGACTCTTCTTTGGTCTTCAGCTTGCTGAGCCCTTCCCTAAAATTAGATCAAAAACCATTTAGATGCTGAACAGAATTATTCTGGTTAAGCAGATTAAATAAGATAAGTTGTTTCCTGGTCCTTTGCATGTCCTTACCACAAGCCTGTCGTAAGACGTCGTTACTCAGGATCCCAACATCTCTGGTTGTGGTGACCACGTTGTGTTGGTCCATGCCGTCATTGTCCTTAATCAAGACACACAAAAACATGACTTCATGCACAGCAGTTAAAATTAATTTTATTTTGTTGTCATGCAATAATCTTCACTCATATTCACCTGCTCTCTGGGTGGAAAGCTGTAAGGTGTCTTAGGCCTAGTCCACACGTAGCCGGTTTTTTAAAAAAAACGAATATCCGCCCCTCCAAAAACTTGCATCCACACCACCTCGTTTTAAAAAAAACTCTGTCCACACGTACCCGGATAAATACGTTGTTAAGGACATGCCAGACCTGTAGGCGGCAGTACTTCCCCCGTTCTTAACCTCGTCCTTCGTCTGTGGTCTTCCGCAAGGAGCAGTAATTCCGCTTGCAAAAACAAACAAGCAAAAAGCGCTTGGACAATTGATAAAGCGAGCGCAGCTCTGAGGGCATCCATGCTGTCGGCTAGTGTAAACACAGGTCGCACACGTGATGTCAGCATTTTTTTTTGTCGCGGAAAGTGACGTTGCGGACCTTAAAACTCCGGTTTTGTCTGTCCACACGCAGACACCCAAAACGGAGAAAAAGCAGATCTTCACTTTGGCCGGAGTTTTTAAAAAGATCCGTTTTCGTGTGAAAAAAACTCCGTTTTCGTGTGGATGACAGGCCAAAACGTAGAAAAGTATCTACGTTTCGGCAGATCCCCGGCTACGTGTGGACAGGGCCTTAAAACACACATGGTCGGTGTCCTGTGGACTCAGAGGAAAGCAAATAAAGGTATCAGTTTGTTTTACAGTTATCAAAAGAGGATTGACATTTACACTTATTATACCACCATTGAAAGTTGACAACATATCAAACTTTCTGCTTTTTAAAATCAACAAATCACACCCTGTCCTGTCTCCCCATTCTGTTCAGTCCTGTGTTCATATTAATTGCTGCCACCTGCCTCTCGTCTCCCAATCACCCAAGGTCCCAGCTCCCCCTGTATTTAAACCCTGTTAGTCCATTTTGTCTGGTTGGTTCATTGTTTCATTGGCCTGCGTGTCTCATTAAAACCCTTTAAATGTTCCTGTCAGCCTGCCTGCCTCCTTCCTCACCCGCGTGTGGATCCTCACCTCCATATCACTCACCGGCACGCCTGACACAACCAAAACACATTGGAAAAGCTCAATACGACAACTGATAATTGTGGGACTACTGCCGTCTCAGAATCCTTCCATCCCTGAAAGTGGTGACCTATTTTCAAACAGGCAGGAGTAAGGTCTTCACTGACCATGGTGCTGCTTTCATGTTTTCTTTTTATCCTGAATACCGGTGGTACATTGGTACCAAGGGTTGCCTGTCCCTCTTCTGTAAAATGGGCAAACTTCCTTCCAAACCTGTAATTAACACACATTTTCATGAGCCAGAATGGAGATAAGTGTGACCATTAAAAAAAAAAGTCATCGTTCAGGAAGCCCTGCAGCGTACCCTTCCAGGCCAAGGTTTTCTAAAAGGACAATGCACCACCATCTTCCCAGGAGACACGTGTCATCCTAATAAAGACCACAGGTACGCTATGAGGACACATTAGTCATAGTATATTAAAAAATATTTTTCTTTTGTAAACTTCCAACACTGAAGTCAAAGCATGCATCCATGGCAAAGTACCAGGCATACTGTAGTGATGATACATTTTCAAACAATATATGAAAGAGTAGGCACACATTTCCACTAAAATAGGTAGTGCAGATCATTACAGTAAACTGTATATTAGAGAAGACATGATAAACTGCCCACAATCAAGTTATTAACTTTATGTAATGCTGTTTTTTTGTTGTTGTTTTGTTTCTGTGTTGATTTCAAGTAATTCAATTGTGTAATGTAGCTTTACACGAGCCTAACATAGTTCTTCAATTGAAGCCATGCAAAATACTACATATTATCCAATCAGTGGCTCCAGCTTCTGTACCTGGAACTAAATTAACTTCATATTGAAACATTTATTGGCGTAAAAGTGCAATTATAAATAAGATATCCAAAAAAAAAATTTTTTTTTAAATCATGTGTCACGTTATTGTATACAGCATCACCCTCACTCACCATTATCATGAAGACACCACAATCATTGCCATGTGTCTGCTCAGGAACACCCTGCACGACAGTTAAATTCAACAAATAGCCGATAATTACATTTCAGTTTAATTTTGATATTGCAGGCAATACCTCCAAATCCAGAGCAGTTGTCTCCGTCCAGGTTCCCACAGCTGTCTGCTGTGCAACATCTGAGTAACCCAAAAAAAAACAACAACAATGTAAAACTTAAAAAGGTAAACACTGCTATGATTTTGTTAGAGATAAAAAAAATATATAAAAAACTGATGGTACATGAACAGTATCAATAGGCGTGTTTCCACTACAAGAACTTGAGGATGGATTTACAGGAACCTCCCGACATGTCAAACGGCCGTTTTCAGGAACCTTCAGAGTACCTGCTCTGGAGTAGCTGACTGGTTGTAACTTAGCAGGAAATGGCATCAGCAGACGTCCAAAACAACTGGCAGCAGTATAATTAGAAGAGTAGCTGGTGAAGCAGAATGAAAGCATAAAAAATAACATTTTAAAAGCACCGATCGCATTTAAAATCTAACTCCCGACACTGGAAGACTCTGTGTAATCGCCCCACAGCTGTTGGAAAAAACGGTAAAAATCCACCACAGGCTTAATTAAAGGGGCTTGCCCTCTGAATGGATTCAATTAGAATATACTTCTATAAAATAAATGTTTTTATTATTGTTAATGTCACATTGGGTGCCTTTTTTGGGGCTGATCAGTGACATCACTCACTGCCAAAGCAGTCGTCATACGCTGACGTCTGTGGAAGTTCTGAAAGGGCTGAATTTGAATGGAGACACAACAGCTGAGAGGACTGGGACATCCTATCTCCTGGTCAAGTTCCCCATCCCAGGAAGTACCCTGGAGTTCTGCTAATGGAAACATGCCTGTAATGCACAGAACAGGGCACATGTCCAAGAACGGGATCATGCAAATTGGTAAATATTCATAATTTCCTAAAGTTTAACAAGGAGGTTTTCTTTTGGTCTCCCTTCTCTTTTCATTGCATTTAATATTTGTCTATTTTCTTCAATTTCAGCTATTTGAAGCAAATCTCATCTGACCCTATAACAAATGTACAGAGCGTGGTATTTATTATCACATTGCCTCCTGATTGAACTTATTTTAGGAAATTTTTGGAAACGTTGGCAGGTCAGGATAACGTGACCACCAGGACACACACCACTGGCAAGCTCAACAGATTCCTGTAGGCCTGACTGGAGAAACCATCTGCTCTTCTGAAATAATGGGAATCCAGAAATAAAATTTCTTTCTGGAGTGGCCTCGTTACCTATAGAAAATATAAGATCTGTACAATTAGCCAAAAACCACAGGAAACTCACAAATTACTTTTAAGGTTAAAACACAGACATCATCTACAACACATGTCCTAACATGCTGTGTTGATATTGTATGCCACTCACTAAAGTGTTGTGTAAATGGTATAATGTTCTTGCCCTGGAATCCACAGTGGGATGATGATGGCATCTTTCTGTAAAAACAAAAGAAAAAAAGATAACAATCATTTTGCATGAAGGGGGACTTCATGATATTGAGCACTGCAAAGCTAAGGGACATTTTATTTAGCTAAGTATTAGAAGTATCCTGGCATTAAATTATTGGGATAGACAGAAGACGGAAGCTGCCGGGCTCTGAGGGTGTGGTAATTGGACACCAGCTGGTCCTCGTTATCCATAACGAGGCCAGGGAGGATAAAAAGGTGACAGGTCTACTGAGATGTGCACGTGGTCGACCTGTCATTGTGGCATCGGACTTTGGGGGGGGTGTGGGGTCGACCTTATTGATTTATTGAGACATAATTCAAAGAGTGACTGTTTTCAGGTTTTATTTCAGTTTTTGAAGGAGATAAGGGTGTTTGGGAGAATTTGATGTGTGTGTGTTTGTGTGTGTGTATATATATATATAAGTGTGTGTGTTTTTGAGCGCTATTCCAGACCACACTCCACACTAGTTGGTGGCGGTAATGCACCATTCGTTGTGTGCCAACTGCCATTTAAACCCCAGAAGAAGAAGAAGAGATGTCCGCGTGGTCGACCTGTCATTGTGGCATCGGACTTTGGGGGGTGGGGTCGTTCGCAGTCGGTTAGGGCTGCCGGCGACGAAGAGGCATGCAGCGTTCCAGTGCTAGGAGGGAAGGCTTGTCGCCTTCTTTAGGCAGCGAGGGCTGGGCATAGTGGATGCCGAGACCACGCCGATATCTGCCGCTACGGACTCAGGCAGTTGGACTCATGTTGTGAACTTACCGCCGTCCTCGCAAGCTGCACCCCGGGGCGTTGGACGGCGTTGGAAGCTCACCCCCTGGGGAGGGGGGTCACCACATCTGAGACAGCTAAGTACCACTGATTGTGACTCATGCTGGACTGTTGGTTTTAGGAGAGAGGGCTTGGGCCATGGTGTTTTATTATTGTGTCTTATTGATTGTGCAATAAAGCGTGTCTTTTATAAGTCGTTGCCTACTGGTGGTGTTTTCAGGTTCTGTCTGGAGGGCAAGATCTTCTGCCAGTGCTGCCCACGGTAACTTACATTACATTATTCTTGATACAGTGTTTAGAGCCAGCAAAAACATTTCACAAAAATCACAATTTATGTTTTTTAATTACTGGGAAATGGAGCAGGGGATCGCCGTTGGTGGGAGGTAGCCATGTTCGTGTCACATGCAGGTCAGCGACAAAAACATCCCGTCCCTGTAGATTGGACGCATACAAATATTTTGTAAGTGCTGGGTATATCACCTATATATATATATATATATATATATATACACACACATCTACGTAATGCATGCAAGTCTAGTAATTTCCTTTTCCTCCAGCCACTTATTCTTAGTTTTAAACCAACCTGCATATTTGCCATTTCCCGGACTATCCTGAGACATTCCTGAGACATGCATTCCCTATCTGTTGATGTAGCATACAAACAGCATCAATTTATTTTTTAATGATTATTTTTATGAAAACATACTTCATCAGTAAATTGTACATTTGTTAGGCACCATTGCCAGTGTTGGGCAAGTTACTTCAAAACTGTAATGGATTATTTATTACTTGTTACCCTCATTTTAATGTAATTGATTACATTACAATATTACTGATTTTAAAATGTAAGGCATTACACTACTTTTGCATTACTTTAAGTTACTTTCACCAAAACAATTTCAATATGAATTAGGTCATGTGATGCTCAGTGAACTCATGACACATCCAGAGGAAGGTGATGTGGTGTCTGAGCTAGGATTGCTGTTAAAAACAGTTCTTTATTAAATAAATGCAACAACAAACTGTACTCTCAGCACGCTGCCATCTTAGATTAACTGAGCAGGGAGTGAGGTGGTGGGGGCTCCAAGCCTATTTTGCATTGGTCCCCAAATGCCTTGATACGGCCCTGGACGTGGGACTGACTTCTGGGGTGATCTGATTCTATCACATGTATAAATATTAAATGCTTATATATTATTGCTTTTCACTGGTAAAAATGTGTATTGGTGATAAATCTACCTACGTTTTTGCTTTTCAAGCACTTTGTTTTTTTTTTTTTTGTTTTTATTTGAATAATTTCCTGCCCTTTCTCTCCCTAACCTTCCTGCATGCTGCATGTTTTCACCGTCTTCCAGAAAAACCGTTTCCTAGATTTCCTACTTTCTAACTAATCAGCCAAAGGGATCCACCGAACGCAAAAGAAAGCTTAATGTGCGCTGCACTCCAGCAGCAATGAGCTGAAATCACCGGGCGAGGGCACAGATTATGAACTCAGCTGAGGCAAAGCACGTCAGAAAGTACAGAGAATATGGGCTGATATGAACGATCGCAAGTGTATTATTTTGTTTTGGTGGAGTGATTTTGTGAATATAACAGCGGCCGCGCGCAGGACGCAGCTGGAGTATTTGAGCCTTTACCGCTGCGTCCTCTCCTAGAATGCCTGCAAAGCGGAGTCCATGAATGATGTAATATATGTAGATACCGGATCTTTATTTTGGGCTTCCCGCAATTTAAATTTTTAAGAAACCCACATCTTGATTCTGGGTCTAAAAATGCATTGCAATTACGCGTTACTGACAATTGTACCGAGTAAATATTACCATTTTCTTTCCCTGTAATGCCTTACATTACCACATTACAGCAAAACGCAATGCTTTACAGTAATTAATTACTTTTGTACCGTGTTACTCCCAACACTGACCATTGCATCCATGTCTCTCTGAAGTCCAAGGGTCAAGATGTCACTTCTGGAAGGGCAAGTTGGTCCGTCTTTGATGATGAGCTCACTTCCAGGTCTTGTCACATCCAGGACATAATTGATGTAGGGTAACAAGTATAAAATAAAAAATAAAAAAGAACAACTATTTATCAATCAAATCAAAGATAATTTATTAATCCCAGAGGGAAATTAGAGTTTCAGTACACAGCAAATAATAATAAACAAATAAAGACTGAACAAACATTCATAGCCTGGTTCATTGGAGATCTGTCCTTCTTCGTGGTCACTGACTTCAGATATAAGCCTTCTGGGACACCTAATAGATCGTGTTGATTTTCTTTGAGGCATTTCCATAATTTCATGCTGGCTTTTTATGCTAATTAGCTTCCCCGTTCCGTTGTCGGTACAGGATCTGCTCGGGTGCAGGATTGGCTCGGGGTCCTTCGACTGCCGATGACGTCACATTACCGCGAATCTACTCGGCTTTCACACATACGTTTTGGAAAGACATCAGCAGTTTTGTTAATAAATTCTTGTTTGTTAACACCTAAATGTTTTCTTTAGAATTGTAATTTGTTAATAAAAAACCATATTATCTTAGTTTTGTAAAGAATGTGAAACTGCATAAAACCAACATCGGACTGACAAAAATAAAACAGTTCTTATATGTGAAGCCATATCTGTTTGTATTAATGTGGAGTTCGTCTGTATATTTCCTTAGTTGTTATCTAAATACATTCTTTGACTTAAAATATTGCTTGGTGTCTTTCAGTAAAGTTCTTATATTTTGCCCCATTTCATCAACATAAAGAGCTTTTGAGGGTCACCGTTTATCATTTGCTTATATTTTACATTTCCTTTAGAAATTCAAACATATTTTCTCCAAAAGTAATGATTTTTGGACTACAGGACTACAACCGCTAAGACTACAACCGCAAATTTGTTCTAACCAATCAAAATCATAACGTGATAACGTCACTTTTGTAAGCTTCATGTTCAGCCAATCAACTACTTTGACGTCATCGGCAGTCGAAGGATCCCGAGCCAATCCTGCACCCGAGCAGATCCTGTACCGACAATGTTGTCCACTTTCACCGCGGCGCTGCGCTCCATTTCAATCAGGCTGTACAGTGACACACCCTGTCCTGTCTCCCCGTTTTGGTTCAGCCTTGTGTCTCGTTGATAGCTCCCACATGCCTCTCGTTTCCCAATCACCTTAGCTCCCGGCCCTCATGTATTTAAGCCCCTTCTGTTCTGTGACTTGTGTCGGTCCATTGTTTCAGTGTCCTGCGTGTTCCTCATTAAAATACATGATAAAACGTCATACCTGTCTGCCTGTCTTCCTCCCCGCGTGTGGATCCTCGCCTCACCTCCGCTCACCTCGCCCACACGCCGTGACATACAGCAGGATTTCCCCTCGTAGCAATATTTTCCATAACTCTGATTGCTTCATGCTATAGATCGTTGGAAAGCTGCTTTTATGTACTTTTAGGAACCATTGGAATTTTTTGAATCTGATCAGCCATTCAAAAGTTATAAAATGGAGCATTTTGGATGACAAACTCAGCACGTCTCTGAATCTGTGTTGTGATTCGTTGCGCTAAAGACAGGGAATCCCGGTGGCTACCGTAATGTATTGTATATGCACGACAAGCCCCATTTTTAATCTTTTCAGCACTTTTGGAATTTTAATGATATCTTGAACGGTTCACGAATTATGGTAATGAGAAGCATGTCCAGTCCCGTCTGCGGCCACAGGTTGGTAATATTGTGGCATTAACAGAGGGGTTGCCGGCGGTCAGGGCTAGGGGGCCCCCCAACAAAAGGGGGCCCCAGGCGGCCGCCGACCTATGCCTAATGGTAAAACCGCCTCTGGATGTGCCTGAGTTCAGCCATTTTTTCATCTACCTTTAATAATTTCTCTTCTATTTCCTTTAGTTCCTCTGTCATGTTTTCACAAAAACGCATCTTTTCCCTGTCTGGTTTGGTTCGCTACAACACAAAGCAACCTCTAAGTTTGACACAGTGCTGTCATCCGTTACTCTTCAACTTCCTAAAACAGTTTCCCAAGGATTTAATCTAACTAAATAATCCATTTATATTTTATCCTGTAGCTACCCCCCCAACCCCCCCCAGGGTGACACCCGCTAACTCTGTAGTCAGAGATGCGAGGGTTGTCTATTCCTCCAACCTGGTGTCGCAGAGACAAAGTCAGTAAGGTTAGATCTAGCATCTCTCTTTCAGCCTTATCTCTCCCAACCCCAACCCGACCCGTGACCCTAGAAAGTTTAGCTCGTGTTTATTTGCCTGAGCTAGCATGCCCCTTCAACATTTTCCCCTCATCTGTGTTTAAAAATGATACCCCCACTGTGGGATTAACCCTCTTATTCCTGTAACCAACTCATTGGATCTCTAACTTTTTTCTTTAGAGCACCCTCTTTTTGTTTAGAGATCGGTAACACCCTGGGATATAAATTCATCATACTTCTCGTCTGTGGATTAAAAGTTCTTAACACAAAAGCTTCTTCCCTTTCTTGTTTCAAATCATCCTCAATTTTCTGCAGCCTTCTGGTGTGCCCGAGTTCAGCCATTTTTTCATCTACCTTTAATCATTTCTCGTCTATTTCCTTTAGTTCCTCTGTCATGTTTTCACAAAAACGCATCTTTTCCCTGTCTGGTTTGGTTCGCTACAACACAAAGCAACTTCTAAGTTTGACACAGTGCTGTCATCCGTTACTCTTCAACTCCCTAAAACTGTTTCCCAAGGATTTAATCTAACTAAATAATCCATTTATATTTTATCCTGTAGCTATTTTATCCAGTAGCTACCCCCCCCCCCTACCCCCCATCCCCACCCCCAGGGTGTGAATGGATGAACGATACGCTGTCGTGGAAAGCGCTTTGAAGTCCTCTGACTCTGAAAGGCGCTACACAAGAGCGGGTTTCTCTTTTATCATCATTAACCTCTCAGTTTAACGAGTATTGCCTCTCCACTCTGGACGACATCTGTCCTTTCAGAACCAGATCAGTTCCCGCAGTAAACTCCCAGGCTCAATTACAGCATTTGCAGCCTGTGTATGAAAACACGTCTCCCCATCCATCTTGTGACACCCGCTAACTCTGTAGTCAGAGATGCGAGGGTTGTCTATTCCTCCAACCTGGTGTCGCAGAGACAAAGTCAGTAAGGTTAGATCTAGCATCTCTCTTTCAGCCTTATCTCTCCCAACCCCAACCCGACCCGTGACCCTAGAAAGTTTAGCTTGTGTTTATTTGCCTGAGCTAGCATGCCCCTTCAACATTTCCCCTCATCTGTGTTTAAAAATGACACCCCCACTGTGGGATTAACCCTCTTATTACTGTAACCAACTCATTGTATCTCTAACTTTTCTCCTTACAGGACCCTTTCTTGGTTTAATGGACACTAGCTCCCTGGGATATAAATTCATTATTCTTCTCGTCTCTGGATTAAAAGTTCTTAACACAAAAGCTTCATCCCTTTCTTGTTTCAAATCATCCTCAATTTTCTGCATCTTTCTGATGTGCCCGAGTTCAGCTATTTTTTCATCTACCTTTAATAATTTCTCGTCTGTTTTCTTTAGTTCCTCTGTCAGGTTTTCACAAAAACGCATCTTTTGTTGAATTAAAATATGATATCTAGCATTATCTTTTTCCAATGCAGCCCGTTTTTCATCATTACTTTGTGTTGGGGCGTCCTTCAAAGCTAGCTGGTTCATTTTATGTAACTGAATGATCTTCATTTCTCTATCAATCTCAGCTCTGTTCAGACGTCGCTCAAGATTTTTTGTGTCAAAATCGAGTTTTTCTTTTATTTTTCTGTAAACACTCAGGTCGTCATTTTCCTTTCTGAGCGCTGCTATTCGACTGTCATTCTCTAAAACGAGTTTATTTAGAGCAGAAATCTTTTGATGGAGGATTTTCATTTCTGCATCGTGTTTCAAGTTTCTCTGTCGCATATTTTCTGCATGTTTGGCTTCCCGTTTTTGATACTCAAAAGCATATTTTTCTCTTAATGCTGAAAGTTCATCTTCCAATTTCTGGATTTCTAACTTAGTTTGGCTTATTTTGTTTCTCAACTCACAGTTGTATTCTTCTGTATCGTTCTGCATTGTAAAATCACGTCCGATCGGTCGAGTGCTCTGACCAACAATGACTTGTAGTGTGAAGCGATGTTCTGTGTATGGCGTATCAAAGGCAAGCGTATGATCACGTGCTTCTATGAAGCTGTTCTGCTCTTCCTTGCTGACGCCGGCTCAGAGGTTACTAGAGGTCGCAACGTTCTAATTTGCATATTGATGACGTAATCACGTCGTTTACGTGAACATTTGCACCCGGTCACGTGAATTGACTATGCGGAAAACGAAAGTGTGATTACTGCACAAATCTTTCGGCAAACGTGTTCTACTGGAAATACGCGGATTAATTGCACGGATTCCCGTTTCTGTCAACTGGTTTTTATTCCCTTTATGTCTCATTTGAATATTCAGTGTGTGTTTCGGTGCATATAGGTTATACGGGTTGTACACTGGAGGTAATCATTCAGCTTAGAGCCCTGCACTGGAGCCCGAGCAGATAGCGACTTTACTTTAATATTGACAAACAATCACAAAGGCTTAAATAAATCAATAAAAAGTACTAATACTTAACTACTTACCTATTTTCCTGCAAATCTGACAACGGAGTAGCATGAAATCACAGCCGAATGCGCTTTGCTTCCTTTTTGTGTTGTGCGCATGCGCGCACATGCGCAGGAACGACGGGTAGGATGGTTTACGGGGTAGGAGAAATTCCCGGAACATCTGGCTTCGGGCCGACGACTGTGGACACGGGCCGTGCGCCTTTATTTTTAATCGAATTCATAAAAAAACTGAAACACTTGAACGCAGCAGCACCTGGCTGCTTCTCGCGCACCGGCACCCGTAGATTTCTCCCTCACATTCACACAAAGGGCTTCCCCAACTCCCGCCGCAAACATGGAGGACATAAAGAGAAAGATTGCAAAAGGCGAATTAAAGAGCGTGAACAACACGAAGGGAAAAGCGCCCTTCTGGGTCAAGTTTGATATCATCACAAACCTTCAAAATGAGCCAACCGGGTTTGTTCAGTGTGCTTTATGCAAAGCTGTTCTGTCATACGACAGCAAAAAAACAGGCTCATCCCATCTCCGGAGACATCTTCAACGTTCATGCGGCGGCTGCGGATCCGGTACCGGCGGCGGTGACAGACAGCAGAGTGTGAGCGATTTTTTAAGTTTTGCCAAACCACCACCGGAAAGGATGAAGTCGGAGGTCGCAAATAAATGCGTGAACTTCTGTTGCGTGGACATTCGGCCATTTGAAACGGTTGCGGGAGCAGGTTTCAGAGAGTTAGCTCAAGAATTAATAAACGTCGGTGCAACACATGGCCGCATTTCAGCCAATGAAGTTCTCCCCAACCCGACCACAATCTCCCGAAGGTGCAAAATGATGGCCAGTGAAATGAGAGGGGGGACAGTTGAGGAGATAAACAGGTGATGTCGCTCATAAATATTGGCATGACTACAGATATGTGGACGGATGATTTCCGTAAAATGAGCTACATGGCTATCACGTGTCACTATGTAACACCAACATTTAAACTCAAGCGCAAGCTACTCACCACAACATGCTTCCCAAACCACGCGAGAACAGGAGATCATATCCGAAAAGCGCTTCAGCAGCAGCTGGTCACAGTCCTCGGCCTTGATGCATGCGTTATGAACAACGTTGTCTGGGTCAGCGACCAGGACGCAAGCGTGCTGGCTGCTCTCCGTCCATACAGGCACCTGGCTTGTCAAGTTCACCTGTACAACACAGTCCTCCGACATGCCCTAAACACCGATGAGCTGGCTGAAGTGGTCCCAGAGGTAGCGGAGACCCTGTTGGCGGTCAAGGCTTTAGTTCGCTACCTGAAACAGTCAGGCCTCGCCTCTCAGCTGCCAACAACCGTCAAACAAATGGCAGAGACTAGATACAACACAGTCTTCCTCACACTGGAGTTAATTCAGTCCGTCCACGCAGAGCTGCAGGAGCTTCTTCAGAGCCGCGACGAGAGCGCACGATTGCGCAATGTCTCCCCAGATGTTCTCGCCTTCCTTGTGGAGTTTCTGCGCCCATTTAACGACGCGCAAAAGGAACTAGAAGGAGACAAACACCCGACGCTTCACCTCGCTGTTCTCTGGGCCAACAAGCTGAAAAGCCACTGCCAGCCGGACGTGGCTGATACTCCCTCCCAGGCTGTCATCCGCCAGCGGCACCTCGACTGGTTAACAAAAACAATCGAAATCCAGCCACTTCATAAAATTGCCATTTTTTTATGGCCAAAGTTCAACCAACTGCGGATGTTTACTCCCGCTGAGAGGACCGACATCCAGCAACACGTGAGAATCCTGATAAACCGCTTCAGAGAGGGGGAGGTTGCTGCAGCGCGTTGGCAGGAGCATACAGGACAATCAGGTATTTTTGTTACTAATGTAGCTAGAAATTGGCCTGAATTAGCCTAATTTTGTTATGATTTTACGCAGATGTTTCAAGCGCAGCAGCTGCTGGTCCTGCGCCAAAGAGGAGAGCGCTGGAAGAGGTTGAGAAGGCGTGGGAAAACGTCAGAGAGGAGAGTGAGGATGCTGATGAAGTCCAGTTCTACCTCAGCCTCAACCCCACCATGGAAGCTGATGGAAGGGATCTTCTGAGCTGGTGGAAGCAACACGAGACCACATTTCCTTTACTGGCACGTCTAGCCCGCATGGTCTTCAGTGTCCCGGCCAGCAGAAGCAGCAGCGAGCGCGCTTTTAGCGCAGCTGGAAGAGCGATAGGGGAAAGGAGGACTGGACTTGCCCCTGAAACTGTGGATGCCATTCTTTTCCTGCACGATGCCAAATAAACTGTTCCTCTTGTTGTGTTCAGAAAATGGAGGACTTTTGCCATGTTAAACCGGATATAGGCTGTTCTTAAAGGCTTGTTCTTATCATTTTATTGCCATGTTCATTTATGCCATTAAAAGCTCAGTTAAGGTCTGTGTGGTTTATAAATGCGCCTATATAAACGAATCCTCAAACTGCTGATTGAAACATGTGCCCCTATTCTCATATGCAAGGGCGTAGGAACGGGTTTAATATGGGGGGGGGGGGGGGACACATTTTGGAAATCTAACAAATCTGTTGTAGGTCAATATATAGGTCAACCTCACTGGAAAAAAATACATTTAATGATTATTTCTGATTCTAATGTGTCACTGTGTTTCATGCAGGCTGAACATGAACATAGTCTCCTACCGCTATCTCCTGCATTAGCTTCTGATAGACGGTGAAACTCTAGGATTCGAAAAGCCTGACAGACATGGACGTAATTTTGGGGGGGGGGGGACAGGGGGGACATGTCCCCCCCACTTTTTCCAAAGTCAAGTTTTGACCTCTGCACTTTTTACCATCCAAAAACAATATTACGCTGTATTAAATTGACACTGTTTGAGCTCTAGGACCAAGCGGAAAACAACCGTTTTTTTTGAAGCCTGTTTCCCATTAGAGCATACTGTAAAGACCCCCCCCCCGTGTCCCCCCCACTTCTAAAGTGAAAATTACGTCCATGCTGACAGATGTGACTCAGGGCGTAAGGCAAAGCCCAGAAAGACAAGAAAATAACTTTTATAGCCCAGTTCACTAACATTCTGTTTTTTTTTTTTTATCGGGGACCCATGAGCCAGCCAGAAGGGGAGGAGACTTAGGCTCCCCATTAGCCAGATGATAACCGACCAACCTGGACATTTTAATTATAAAAAAGCTGTTTATGTGTCAGTACTGTTTTAGTTTTATTTAATAATATGAATGTAGGATATATTATCTTATTCATATGGGTAGAGATGTGTAAACAGATTTAATACAAGGCTAAAGCTGTGAATATTCAGTCTGAATTGATCTGACTCTGATCAGAATATTTTAAACTACATCAGCCAACAATGCTGACCAACAATCAGAAAAGTCTGTTTGCTTCTGACAGAATGAAAAAAGAAATAATTCACTCACAACAACAGCACATCTGAATGTCGCAGCAGAAATCGAGACTCATCAGACTAGGCAACATTTTTTCAATCTTCTATTATCCAGTTTTGGTGAGCTTGTGTGCATTTTAGCCTCGGTTTCCTGTTCTTAGCTGACAGGAGTGGCACCTGTTTTGGTTTTCTGCTGCTGCTGTAATCCATCTGCCTCACGGTTGGACGTGTTGTGCTTTCAGAGAGAGAACGTTAGTTGTAACGAGTGGTTATTTGAGTTACTGCCTTTCTATCAGCTTGAACAAGTCTGGCCATTCTCCTCTGACCTCTGGCATCAACAAGGCATTGTCACCCACAGAGCTGCTGCTCACTGGATGTTTACACTTTTTCGGACATTCTCTGTAAACCCTAGAGATGGTTGTGAGTGACAATCCCAGATCAGCAGTTGCCCGTCTGGCACAAACAACCACGCCACGTTCAAAGTCGCTTAAATCACCTTTCTTCAATATTCTGATTCGGTTTGGACTGCAGCGGGTCGTTTTGACCATGTCTACATGCCTAAATGCTTCACATTGCCACCGTGTGATTGGCCGATTAGTGGTTTGCGTTGATGAGCAGTTGGAGAGGTGGAACCAATAAAGTGGCCAGTGAGTATAGTCTGGCCGTGACCCATAGACACAGCTCAGTCTTGGATTCTATGGTTGTCTTTCAAACTGTCTCTGCACGCTATTGGACAGCAACGTGACATACTCACCACTACGGACGTCAGTCAACAAGACAGTCCTCCATACACTGTCGAAGAAGAGGAGGTACCTCTATCTGCTCTTGCCTTAAAGCCCAGGTCTACCAGCCCAAAGTTGATGTCAAAGCTGTTTCACACGATCTGTCGCCATCTTTGTTTTTTCACTCCATAGCAGCATTCGTGCAGCTCGCGCCCACCAAACCAATAGAGTGCGGGGATTGGCAAGACACAAAACTACTCTGGCCAACAGTAGACTTGCTGAGGCTCCTATGGAGCACGGCTAGACCGACATGCAGAGAAAAATCCTTTTGCTTCTGCTGGTCTGTCTAGATTTTCTCTTTCACAGCAAACACGATGCATAAATGTACACATTTATAAACATATTCACCTAAGTTTTTAATAGCTGATGATTTGACTGATGGCACTTATTGGTAGCCTGACCAGCCAGCCCCACGCTTCTCTGTGCAGAATTAAACAAGACGAGTCTGGCAGGCCAGGCTAACTTATTGGTTGACCAAGAACAACGAGGAAGTCAGTGAAGAAGTAAACAAGCGGTCTTTGGTGGATATTTGTAAAGAAATTCATCTTCCAAGATGACGTGGACGTAATTTTCACTTTAGAAGTGGGGGGGACACGGGGGGGAGGGGGGGGGGTCTTTACAGTATGCTCTAATGGGAAACAGGCTTCAACACAAACGGTTGTTTTCCGCTTGGTCCTAGAGCTCAACCAGTGTCAATTTAATATAGCGTAATATTGTTTTTGGATGGTAAAAAGTGCAGGGGTCAAAACTTGACTTTGGAAAAAGTGGGGGGGACATGTCCCCCCTGTCCCCCCCCCCAAAATTACGTCCATGTCTGTCAGGCTTTTCGAATCCTAGAGTGTCACCGTCTATCAGAAGCTAATGCAGGAGATAGCGGTAGGAGACGATGTTCATGTTCAGCCTGCATGAAACACAGTGACACATTAGAATAATAAATAATCATTAAATGTATTTTTTTCCAGTGAGGTTGACCTATATATTGACCTACAACAGATTTGTTAGATTTCCAAAATGTGTCCCCCCCCCCCCCCCATATTAAACCCGTTCCTACGCCCTTGCATGAGAATAGGGGCACATGTTTCAATCAGCAGTTTGAGGATTCGTTTATATAGGCGCATTTATAAACCACACAGACCTTAACTGAGCTTTTAATGGCATAAATGAACATGGCAATAAACTGATAAGAACAAGCCTTTAAGAACAGCCTATATCCGGTTTAACATGGCAAAAGTCCTCCATTTTCTGAACACAACAAGAGGAACAGTTTATTTGGCATCGTGCAGGAAAAGAATGGCATCCACAGTTTCAGGGGCAAGTCCAGTCCTCCTTTCCCCTATCGCTCTTCCAGCTGCGCTAAAAGCGCGCTCGCTGCTGCTTCTGCTGGCCGGGACACTGAAGACCATGCGGGCTAGACGTGCCAGTAAAGGAAATGTGGTCTCGTGTTGCTTCCACCAGCTCAGAAGATCCCTTCCATCAGCTTCCATGGTGGGGTTGAGGCTGAGGTAGAACTGGACTTCATCAGCATCCTCACTCTCCTCTCTGACGTTTTCCCACGCCTTCTCAACCTCTTCCAGCGCTCTCCTCTTTGGCGCAGGACCAGCAGCTGCTGCGCTTGAAACATCTGCGTAAAATCATAACAAAATTAGGCTAATTCAGGCCAATATATAGCTACATTAGTAACAAACATACCTGATTGTCCTGTATGCTCCTGCCAACGCGCTGCAGCAACCTCCCCCTCTCTGAAGCGGTTTATCAGGATTCTCACGTGTTGCTGGATGTCGGTCCTCTCAGCGGGAGTAAACATCCGCAGTTGGTTGAACTTTGGCCATAAAAAAATGGCAATTTTATGAAGTGGCTGGATTTCGATTGTTTTTGTTAACCAGTCGAGGTGCCGCTGGCGGATGACAGCCTGGGAGGGAGTATCAGTCACGTCCGGCTGGCAGTGGCTTTTCAGCTTGTTGGCCCAGAGAACAGCGAGGTGAAGCGTCGGGTGTTTGTCTCCTTAGTTCCTTTTGCGCGTCGTTAAATGGGCGCAGAAACTCCACAAGGAAGGCGAGAACATCTGGGGAGACATTGCGCAATCGTGCGCTCTCGTCGCGGCTCTGAAGAAGCTCCTGCAGCTCTGCGTGGACGGACTGAATTAACTCCAGTGTGAGGAAGACTGTGTTGTATCTAGTCTCTGCCATTTGTTTGACGGTTGTTGGCAGCTGAGAGGCGAGGCCTGACTGTTTCAGGTAGCGAACTAAAGCCTTGACCGCCAACAGGGTCTCCGCTACCTCTGGGACCACTTCAGCCAGCTCATCGGTGTTTAGGGCATGTCGGAGGACTGTGTTGTACAGGTGAACTTGACAAGCCAGGTGCCTGTATGGACGGAGAGCAGCCAGCACGCTTGCGTCCTGGTCGCTGACCCAGACAACGTTGTTCATAACGCATGCATCAAGGGCGAGGACTGTGACCAGCTGCTGCTGAAGCGCTTTTCGGATATGATCTCCTGTTCTCGCGTGGTTTGGGAAGCATGTTGTGGTGAGTAGCTTGCGCTTGAGTTTAAATGTTGGTGTTACATAGTGACACGTGATAGCCATGTAGCTCATTTTACGGAAATCATCCGTCCACATATCTGTAGTCATGCCAATATTTATGAGCGACATCACCTGTTTTATCTCCTCAACTGTCCCCCCTCTCATTTCACTGGCCATCATTTTGCACCTTCGGGAGATTGTGGTCGGGTTGGGGAGAACTTCATTGGCTGAAATGCGGCCATGTGTTGCACCGACGTTTATTAATTCTTGAGCCAACTCTCTGAAACCTGCTCCCGCAACCGTTTCAAATGGCCGAATGTCCACGCAACAGAAGTTCACGCATTTATTTGCGACCTCCGACTTCATCCTTTCCGGTGGTGGTTTGGCAAAACTTAAAAAATCGCTCACACTCTGCTGTCTGTCACCGCCGCCGGTACCGGATCCGCAGCCGCCGCATGAACGTTGAAGATGTCTCCGGAGATGGGATGAGCCTGTTTTTTTGCTGTCGTATGACAGAACAGCTTTGCATAAAGCACACTGAACAAACCCGGTTGGCTCATTTTGAAGGTTTGTGATGATATCAAACTTGACCCAGAAGGGCGCTTTTCCCTTCGTGTTGTTCACGCTCTTTAATTCGCCTTTTGCAATCTTTCTCTTTATGTCCTCCATGTTTGCGGCGGGAGTTGGGGAAGCCCTTTGTGTGAATGTGAGGGAGAAATCTACGGGTGCCGGTGCGCGAGAAGCAGCCAGGTGCTGCTGCGTTCATGTGTTTCAGTTTTTTTATGAATTCGATTAAAAATAAAGGCGCACGGCCCGTGTCCACAGTCGTCGGCCCGAAGCCAGATGTTCCGGGAATTTCTCCTACCCCGTAAACCATCCTACCCGTCGTTCCTGCGCATGTGCGCGCATGCGCACAACACAAAAAGGAAGCAAAGCGCATTCGGCTGTGATTTCATGCTACTCCGTTGTTAGATTTGCAGGAAAATAGGTAAGTAGTTAAGTATTAGTACTTTTTATTGATTTATTTAAGCCTTTGTGATTGTTTGTCAATATTAAAGTAAAGTCGCTATCTGCTCGGGCTCCAGTGCAGGGCTCTAAGCTGAATGATTACCTCCAGTGTACAACCCGTATAACCTATATGCACCGAAACACACACTGAATATTCAAATGAGACATAAAGGGAATAAAAACCAGTTGACAGAAACGGGAATCCGTGCAATTAATCCGCATATTTCCAGTAGAACACGTTTGCCGAAAGATTTGTGCAGTAATCACACTTTCGTTTTCCGCATACTCAATTCACGTGACCGGGCGCAAATGTTCACGTAAACGACGTCATTGCGTCATCAATATGCAAATTAGAACGTTGCGACCTCTAGTAACCTCTGAGCCGGCGTCAGCAAGGAAGAGCAGAACAGCTTCATAGAAGCACGTGATCATACGCTTGCCTTTGATACGTCATACACAGAACATCGCTTCACACTACAAGTCATTGTTGGTCAGAGCACTCGACCGATCGGACGTGATTTTATAATGCAGTACGATATAGAAGAAAACAACTGTGAGTTGAGAAACAAAATAAGCCAAACTAAGATAGAAATCCAGAAATTGGAATATGAACTTTCAGCATTAAGAGAAAAATATGCTTTTGAGTATCAAAAACGAGAAGCCAAACATGCAGAAAATATGCGACAGAGAAACTTGAAACACGATGCAGAAATGAAAATCCTCCATCAAAAGATTTCTGCTCTAAATAAACTCGTTTTAGAGAATGACAGTCGAATAGCAGCGCTCAGAAAGGAAAATGACGACCTGAGTGTTTACAGAAAAGTAAAAGAAAAACTCAATTTTGACACAAAAAATCTTGAGCGACGTCTGAACAGAGCTGAGATTGATAGAGAAATGAAGATCATTCAGTTACATAAAATGAACCAGCTAGCTTTGAAGGACGCCCCAACACAAAGTAATGATGAAAAACGGGCTGCATTGGAAAAAGATAATGCTAGATATCATATTTTAATTCAACAAAAGATGCGTTTTTGTGAAAACCTGACAGAGGAACTAAAGAAAACAGACGAGAAATTATTAAAGGTAGATGAAAAAATGGCTGAACTCAGGCACACCAGAAAGATGCAGAAAATTGAGGATGATTTGAAACGAGAAAGGGATGAAGCTTTTGTGTTAAGAACTTTTAATCCAGAGACGAGAAGAATAATGAATTTATATCCCAGGGTGCTAGTGTCCATTAAACCAAGAAAGGGTCCTGTAAGGAGAAAAGTTAGAGATACAATGAGTTGGTTACAGTAATAAGAGGGTTAATCCCACAGTGGGGGTATCTTTTTTAAACACAGATGAGGGGAAAATGTTGAAGGGGCATGCTAGCTCAGGCAAATAAACACAAGCTAAACTTTCTAGGGTCACGGGTCGGGTTGGGGTTGGGAGAGATAAGGCTGAAAGAGAGATGCTAGATCTTACCTTACTGACTTTGTCTCTGCGACACCAGGTTGGAGGAATAGACAACCCTCGCATCTCTGACTACAGAGTTAGCGGGTGTCACCCTGGGGGGGGTTGGGGGGGTAGCTACAGGATAAAATATAAATGGATTATTTAGTTAGATTAAATCCTTGGGAAACTGTTTTAGGAAGTTGAAGAGTAACGGGTGACAGCACTGTGTCAAACTTAGAGGTTGCTTTGTGTTGTAGCGAACCAAACCAGACAGGGAAAAGATGCGTTTTTGTGAAAACATGACAGAGGAACTAAAGGAAATAGAAGAGAAATTATTAAAGGTAGATGAAAAAATGGCTGAACTCAGGCACATCCAGAGGCGGTTTTACCATTAGGCATAGGTCGGCGGCCGCCTGGGGCCCCCTTTTGCTGGGGGGCCCCCTAGCCCTGACCGCCGGCACCCCTCTGTTAATGCCACAATATTACCAACCTGTGGCCGCAGACGGGACTGGACATGCTTCTCATTACCATAATTCGTGAACCGTTCAAGATATCATTAAAATTCCAAAAGTGCTGAAAAGATTAAAAATGGGGCTTGTCGTGCATATACAATACATTACGGTAGCCACCAGGATTCCCTGTCTTTAGCGCAACGAATCACAACACAGATTCAGAGACGTGCTGAGTTTGTCATCCAAAATGCTCCATTTTATAACTTTTGAATGGCTGATCAGATTCAAAAAATTCCAATGGTTCCTAAAAGTACATAAAAGCAGCTTTCCAACGATCTATAGCATGAAGCAATCAGAGTTATGGAAAATATTGCTACGAGGGGAAATCCTGCTGTATGTCACGGCGTGTGGGCGAGGTGAGCGGAGGTGAGGCGAGGATCCACACGCGGGGAGGAAGACAGGCAGACAGGTATGACGTTTTATCATGTATTTTAATGAGGAACACGCAGGACACTGAAACAATGGACCGACACAAGTCACAGAACAGAAGGGGCTTAAATACACGAGGGCCGGGAGCTAAGGTGATTGGGAAACGAGAGGCATGTGGGAGCTATCAACGAGACACAAGGCTGAACCAAAACGGGGAGACAGGACAGGGTGTGTCACTGTACAGCCTGATTGAAATGGAGCGCAGCGCCGCGGTGAAAGTGGACAACATTGTCGGTACAGGATCTGCTCGGGTGCAGGATTGGCTCGGGGTCCTTCGACTGCAGATGACGTCAAAGTAGTTGATTGGCTGAACATGAAGCTTACGGAAGTGACGTTATCACGTTATGATTTTGATTGGTTAGAACAAATTTGCGGTTGTAGTCTTAGCGGTTGTAGTCCTGTAGTCCAAAAATCATTACTTTTGGAGAAAATATGTTTGAATTTCTAAAGGAAATGTAAAATATAAGCAAATGATAAACGGTGACCCTCAAAAGCTCTTTATGTTGATGAAATGGGGCAAAATATAAGAACTTTACTGAAAGACACCAAGCAATATTTTAAGTCAAATAATGTATTTAGATAACAACTAAGGAAATATACAGACGAACTCCACATTAATACAAACAGATATGGCTTCACATATAAGAACTGTTTTATTTTTGTCAGTGCGATGTTGGTTTTATGCAGTTTCACATTCTTTACAAAACAAAGATAATATGGTTTTTTATTAACAAATTACAATTGTAAAGAAAACATTTAGGTGTTAATAAACAAGAATTTATTAACAAAACTGCTGATGTCTTTCCAAAACGTATGTGTGAAAGCCGAGTAGATTCGCGGTAATGTGACGTCATCGGCAGTCGAAGGACCCCGAGCCAATCCTGCACCCGAGCAGATCCTGTACCGACAACGGAACGGGGAAGCTAATTAGCATAAAAAGCCAGCATGAAATTATGGAAATGCCTCAAAGAAAATCAACACGATCTATTAGGTGTCCCAGAAGGCTTATATCTGAAGACAGTGACCACGAAGAAGGACAGATCTCCAATGAACCAGGCTATGAATGTTTGTTCAGTCTTTATTTGTTTATTATTATTTGCTGTGTACTGAAACTCTAATTTCCCTCTGGGATTAATAAATTATCTTTGATTTGATTGATAAATAGTTGTTCTTTTTTCTTTTTTATTTTATACTTGTTACCCTAGTTCAATTATGTCCTGGATGTGACAAGACCTGGAAGTGAGCTCATCATCAAAGACGGACCAACTTGCCCTTCCAGAAGTGACATCTTGACCCTTGGACTTCAGAGAGACATGGATGCAATGGTCAGTGTTGGGAGTAACACGGTACAAAAGTAATTAATTACTGTAATGCATTGCGTTTTGCTGTAATGTGGTAATGTAAGGCATTACAGGGAAAGAAAATGGTAATATTTACTCGGTACAATTGTCAGTAACGCGTAATTGCAATGCATTTTTAAACCCAGAATCAAGATGTGGGTTTCTTAAAAATTTAAATTGCGGGAAGCCCAAAATAAAGATCCGGTATCTACATATATTACATCATTCATGGACTCCGCTTTGCAGGCATTCTAGGAGAGGACGCAGCGGTAAAGGCTCAAATACTCCAGCTGCGTCCTGCGCGCGGCCGCTGTTATATTCACAAAATCACTCCACCAAAACAAAATAATACACTTGCGATCGTTCATATCAGCCCATATTCTCTGTACTTTCTGACGTGCTTTGCCTCAGCTGAGTTCATAATCTGTGCCCTCGCCCGGTGATTTCAGCTCATTGCTGCTGGAGTGCAGCGCACATTAAGCTTTCTTTTGCGTTCGGTGGATCCCTTTGGCTGATTAGTTAGAAAGTAGGAAATCTAGGAAACGGTTTTTCTGGAAGACGGTGAAAACACGCAGCATGCAGGAAGGTTAGGGAGAGAAAGGGCAGGAAATTATTCAAATAAAAACAAAAAAAAAACAAAACAAAGTGCTTGAAAAGCAAAAACGTAGGTAGATTTATCACCAATACACATTTTTTCCAGTGAAAAGCAATAATATATAAGCATTTAATATTTATACATGTGATAGAATCAGATCACCCCAGAAGTCAGTCCCACGTCCAGGGCCGTATCAAGGCATTTGGGGACCAATGCAAAATAGGCTTGGAGCCCCCACCACCTCACTCCCTGCTCAGTTAATCTAAGATGGCAGCGTGCTGAGAGTACAGTTTGTTGTTGCTTTTATTTAATAAAGAACTGTTTTTAACAGCAATCCTAGCTCAGACACCACATCACCTTCCTCTGGATGTGTCATGAGTTCACTGAGCATCACATGACCTAATTCATATTGAAATTGTTTTGGTGAAAGTAACTTAAAGTAATGCAAAAGTAGTGTAATGCCTTACATTTTAAAATCAGTAATATTGTAATGTAATCAATTACATTAAAATGAGGGTAACAAGTAATAAATAATCCATTACAGTTTTGAAGTAACTTGCCCAACACTGGCAATGGTGCTTAACAAATGTACAATTTACTGATGAAGTATGTTTTCATAAAAATAATCATTAAAAAATAAATTGATGCTGTTTGTATGCTACATCAACAGATAGGGAATGCATGTCTCAGGATAGTCCGGGAAATGGCAAATATGCAGGTTGGTTTAAAACTAAGAATAAGTGGCTGGAGGAAAAGGAAATTACTAGACTTGCATGCATTACGTAGATGTGTGTGTATATAAATATATATATATATATAGGTGATATACCCAGCACTTACAAAATATTTGTATGCGTCCAATCTACAGGGACGGGATGTTTTTGTCGCTGACCTGCATGTGACACGAACATGGCTACCTCCCACCAACGGCGATCCCCTGCTCCATTTCCCAGTAATTAAAAAACATAAATTGTGATTTTTGTGAAATGTTTTTGCTGGCTCTAAACACTGTATCAAGAATAATGTAATGTAAGTTACCGTGGGCAGCACTGGCAGAAGATCTTGCCCTCCAGACAGAAGCTGAAAACACCACCAGTAGGCAACGACTTATAAAAGACACGCTTTATTGCACAATCAATAAGACACAATAATAAAACACCATGGCCCAAGCCCTCTCTCCTAAAACCAACAGTCCAGCATGAGTCACAATCAGTGGTACTTAGCTGTCTCAGATGTGGTGACCCCCCTCCCCAGGGGGTGAGCTTCCAACGCCGTCCAACGCCCCGGGGTGCAGCTTGCGAGGCCGGCGGTAAGTCCACAACATGAGTCCAACTGCCTGAGTCCGTAGCGGCAGATATCGGCGTGGTCTCGGCATCCACTATGCCCAGCCCTCGCTGCCTAAAGAAGGCGACAAGCCTTCCCTCCTAGCACTGGAACGCTGCATGCCTCTTCGTCGCCGGCAGCCCTAACCGACTGCGAACGACCCCACCCCCCAAAGTCCGATGCCACAATGACAGGTCGACCACGCGCACATCTCAGTAGACCTGTCACCTTTTTATCCTCCCTGGCCTCGTTATGGATAACGAGGACCAGCTGGTGTCCAATTACCACACCCTCAGAGCCCGGCAGCTTCCGTCTTCTGTCTATCCCAATAATTTAATGCCAGGATACTTCTAATACTTAGCTAAATAAAATGTCCCTTAGCTTTGCAGTGCTCAATATCATGAAGTCCCCCTTCATGCAAAATGATTGTTATCTTTTTTTCTTTTGTTTTTACAGAAAGATGCCATCATCATCCCACTGTGGATTCCAGGGCAAGAACATTATACCATTTACACAACACTTTAGTGAGTGGCATACAATATCAACACAGCATGTTAGGACATGTGTTGTAGATGATGTCTGTGTTTTAACCTTAAAAGTCATTTGTGAGTTTCCTGTGGTTTTTGGCTAATTGTACAGATCTTATATTTTCTATAGGTAACGAGGCCACTCCAGAAAGAAATTTTATTTCTGGATTCCCATTATTTCAGAAGAGCAGATGGTTTCTCCAGTCAGGCCTACAGGAATCTGTTGAGCTTGCCAGTGGTGTGTGTCCTGGTGGTCACGTTATCCTGACCTGCCAACGTTTCCAAAAATTTCCTAAAATAAAGTTCAATCAATGTGATAATAAATACCACGCTCTGTACATTTGTTATAGGGTCAGATGAGATTTGCTTCAAATAGCTGAAATTGAAGAAAATAGACAAATATTAAATGCAATGAAAAGAGAAGGGAGACCGAAAGAAAACCTCCTTGTTAAACTTTAGGAAATTATGAATATTTACCAATTTGCATGATCCCGTTCTTGGACATGTTCCCTGTTCTGTGCATTACAGGCATGTTTCCATTAGCAGAACTCCAGGGTACTTCCTGGGATGGGGAACTTGACCAGGAGATAGGATGTCCCAGTCCTCTCAGCTGTTGTGTCTCCATTCAAATTCAGCCCTTTCAGAACTTCCACAGACGTCAGCGTATCACGACTGCTTTGGCAGTGAGTGATGTCACTGATCAGCCCCAAAAAGCACCCAATGTGACATTAACAATAATAAAAACATTTATTTTATAGACGTATATTCTAATTTAATCCATTCAGAGGACAAGCCCCTTTAATTAAGCCTGTGGTGGATTTTTACCATTTTTTCCAACAGCTGTGGGGGACACAGAGTCTTCCAGTGTCGGGAGTTAGATTTTAAATGCGATCGGTGCTTTTAAAATGTTATTTTTTATGCTTTCATTCTGCTTCACCAGCTACTCTTCTAATTATACTGCTGCCAGTTGTTTTGGACGTCTGCTGATGTCATTTCCTGCTAAGTTACAACCAGTCAGCTACTCCAGAGCAGGTACTCTGAAGGTTCCTGAAAACGGCCGTTTGACATGTCGGGAGGTTCCTGTAAATCCATCCTCAAGTTCTTGTAGTGGAAACACGCCTTTTGATACTGTTCACGTACCAGTTTTTTATATATATTTTTTTATCTCTAACAAAATCATAGCAGTGTTTACCTTTTTAAGTTTTACATTGTTGTTGTTTTTTTTTTTTTGGGTTACTCAGAGATGTTGCACAGCAGACAGCTGTGGGAACCTGGACGGAGACAACTGCTCTGGATTTGGAGGTTAAAGCCGGCAATATCAAAATTAAACTGAAATGTAATTATCGGCTATTTGTTGAATTTAACTGTCGTACAGGGTGTTCCTGAGCAGACACATGGCAATGATTGTGGTGTCTTCATGATAATGGTGAGTGAGGGTGATGCTGTATACAATAACGTGACACATGATTTAAAAAAATTTTTTTTGGGATATCTTATTTATAATTGCACCTTTACGCCAATAAATGTTTCAATATGAAGTTAATTTAGTTCCAGGTACAGAAGCTGGAGCCACCGATTGGATAATATGTAGTATTTTGCATGGCTTCAATTGAAGAACTATGTTAGGCTCGTGTAAAGCTACATTACACAATTGAATTACTTGAAATCAACACAGAAACAAAACAACAACAAAAAAAAACAGCATTACATGAAGTTAATAACTTGATTGTGGGCAGTTTATCATGTCTTCTCTAATATACAGTTTATTGTAATGATCTGCACTACCTATTTTAGTGGAAATGTGTGCCTACTCTTTCATATATTGTTTGAAAATGTATCATCACTACAGTATGCCTGGTACTTTGCCATGGATGCATGCTTTGACTTCAGTGTTGGAAGTTTACAAAAGAAAAATATTTTTTAATATACTATGACTAATGTGTCCTCATAGCGTACCTGTGGTCTTTATTAGGATGACACGTGTCTCCTGGGAAGATGGTGGTGCATTGTCCTTTTAGAAAACCTTGGCCTGGAAGGGTACGCTGCAGGGCTTCCTGAACGATGACTTTTTTTTTTAATGGTCACACTTATCTCTATTCTGGCTCATGAAAATGTGTGTTAATTACAGGTTTGGAAGGAAGTTTGCCCATTTTACAGAAGAGGGACAGGCAACCCTTGGTACCAATGTACCACCGGTATTCAGGATAAAAAGAAAACATGAAAGCAGCACCATGGTCAGTGAAGACCTTACCCCTGCCTGTTTGAAAATAGGTCACCACTTTCAGGGATGGAAGGATTCTGAGACGGCAGTAGTCCCACAATTATCAGTTGTCGTATTGAGCTTTTCCAATGTGTTTTGGTTGTGTCAGGCGTGCCGGTGAGTGATCTGGAGGTGAGGATCCACACGCGGGTGAGGAAGGAGGCAGGCAGGCTGACAGGAACATTTAAAGGGTTTTAATGAGACACGCAGGCCAATGAAACAATGAACCAACCAGACAAAATGGACTAACAGGGTTTAAATACAGGGGGAGCTGGGACCTTGGGTGATTGGGAGACGAGAGGCAGGTGGCAGCAACTAACATGAACACAGGACAGGGTGTGACTTGTTGATTTGTTGATTTTAAAAAGCAGAAAGTTTGATATGTTGTCAACTTTCAATGGTGGTATAATAAGTGTAAATATCAATCCTCTTTGGATAACTGTAAAACAAACTGATACCTTTATTTGCATTCCTCTGAGTCCACAGGACACCGACCATGTGTGTTTTAAGGCCCTGTCCACACGTAGCCGGGGATCTGCCGAAACGTAGATATTTTTCTACGTTTTGATCTGTCATCCACATGAAAACAGAGTTTTTTCACACGAAAACGGATCTTTTTAAAAACTCCGGCCAAAGTGAAGATCTGCGTTTTCTCCGTTTTGGGTGTCTGCGTGTGGACAGACAAAACCGGAGTTTTAAGGTCCGCAACGTCACTTTCCGCGACAAAAAAATGCTGACATCACGTGTGCGACCTGTGTTTACACTAGCCGACAGCATGGATGCCCTCAGAGCTGCGCTCCCTTTATCAATTGTCCAAGCGCTTTTTGCTTGTTTGTTTTTGCAAGCGGAATTACTGCTCCTTGCGGAAGACCACAGACGAAGGACGAGGTTAAGAACGGGGGAAGTACTGCCGCCTACAGGTCTGGCATGTCCTTAACAACGTATTTATCCGGGTACGTGTGGACAGAGTTTTTTTTAAACAAGGTGGTGTGGATGCAAGTTTTTGGAGGGGCGGATATTCGTTTTTTAAAAAAAAAACGGCTACGTGTGGACTAGGCCTAAGACACCTTACAGCTTTCCACCCAGAGAGCAGGTGAATATGAGTGAAGATTATTGCAGGACAACAAAATAAAATTAATTTTAACTGCTGTGCATGAAGTCATGTTTTTGTGTGTCTTGATTAAGGACAATGACAGCATGGACCAACACAACGTGGTCACCACAACCAGGGATGTTGGGATCCTGAGTAACGACGTCTTACGACAGGCTTGTGGTAAGGACATGCAAAGGACCAAGAAACAACTTATCTTATTTAATCTGCTTAACCAGAATAATTCTGTTAAGCATCTAAATGGTTTTTGATCTAATTTTAGGGAAGGGCTCAGCAAGCTGAAGACCAAAGAAGAGTCAGCAGTGATCTTGTATCATTTATCACTCAGGATAAAGGCCTACTGCTACATCTGGAAGTGAGTTTTAAATTAATAATTAAATTTGCGCACTGTAACTAATTTCAGTCAAAACATGACTCATGAATTATTCAAGTGAAACATTTTCTGCTAACCTAGTGTTTGGACATTTACTTTGAGCTCCAAAAATATCTCTATTTACAGGCAATCATCGCAGGAAAAGTGTCATCCACCTGGGCTAGGGTGGACATTTTCTTTGAGGAGGATGAGCAGCTGGACAGAGTGATGGGCTTCTTCACAAGCCTGGTTGAAGCACAGACAACCAGATGTCACAATCAAGTGGCATTCATGATGGATGTGCTTCTGCCAGAGGTACGTTCTGAAAATGTTTGTGTATCACATGAAAATATTTTGTAGCATTACTGTTAGTCTATAACTCATGGTTAATATGTTGTTACCTGCAACATGACAGACTAATGTCTACATGAAAGATGTCCTCAGTTAACCATCCATGTGCTTTCAGCTGTCCATGAATGTTGACGGACAAAGCCACAGAACAGTACGGCAGTGGGCTGCAGTATGACTGGAGGTACGCTACAAACACAAGAACAGTGCTAATGCCTGTATGTATTGTTTTCACATTGTTTATGACAGCGTCTAGGTGTGAATGTCATTTTTACTAATTGCTATTTATCTCTGTCTCATTAGTGAGAGGCAGCTGATGTCCTATGCCGTGGAAAAAAACACGAGCAAGGAGGCAAAACAGAAACTGCTCATATACACGGAGAAACTCAGAAAAGCTCTGGACTCATCTGATATTTTGAAGAGGCTGTAGTATTATGTTGACATATTTTTTTTTTGGAAGGTATTTGTAAGGCCAATAAAAGTTGTTGCTGGTTGTTTCATTTGTCTGAACATTTTTCTAAAGCAGAATTTTTCTGCTTTTGTGTTTACAGCATATTTTTTAAAGATTAGTGTATGGTCTACATCAGTTTACTAGTCTTGTGAATTGTATACTTAATTCAAAATATTTTAGTAATTTCTAAATCAATACATTTTGTGTCAAAGGGCCAGCAATTATTCCTGTTAACAGAATATATGAAATACATAAATACACATGTAAATATTCCTAAAAATTACACATCAGCAGCTTTTCACTGTAAAGAAGCAATAAAAAAATCATAAATAGTAACATAAATATTAACTACTCACTCGTATTGACTTAGACCCACTGTTGGTGCCTGTAATAACAAATGGCTGAAAGTTAAATGTTGCTGTAGGAGGCGTGCTCCCAAAAATGGGGGCTAGTGGGCTTCAGAGGTCAATTAAAATGATTACCACTAACTACTTTTTCTGATATTTTATTTTATTGCATTTAAAATAAACACTTGCACATACATTACTCACCTGCTAACTTAAATAAGCATATGTATGTTTTGCCTATTGTCCGGCAACTGATTATTTGTTGGTATCGGTGTTTTATTATCCCACTGGGGATGGCCATAAAGTGTGTATGCAAGAAAAAAAAATCCATACATTCATATTTAAATCTGGAGTCCTGTCTGTTTCATTACATTACTATTTCTGTATAATCGTCTTCGTCTTCCTCCACTTTTCCGGGTCCGGGTCGCGGGGGCAGCATCCCAACTAGGGAGCTCCAGACCGTCCTCTCCCCGGCCATCTCCACCAGCTCCTCCGGCAGGACCCCAAGGCGTTCCCGGACCAGATTGGAGATGTAACCTCTCCAACGTGTCCTGGGACGACCCGGGGGCCTCCTGTTGGCAGGACATGCCCGAAACACCTCCCCAGGGAGGCGTCCAGGAGGCATCCTGACCAGATGCCCAAACCACCTCAACTGACTCCTTTCGATCCGGAGGAGCAGCAGTTCTACTCCGAGTCCCTCCCGAATGTCCGAGCTCCTCACCCTATCTCTAAGGCTGAGCCCGGCCACCCTACGGAGGAAACTCATTTCGGCCGCTTGTATCCGCGATCTCGTTCTTTCGGTCATTACCCAAAGCTCATGACCATAGGTGAGGATTGGGACGTAGATCGACCGGTAAATCGAGAGCCTGGCTTTCTGGCTCAGCTCCCTCTTCACCACGACAGATCGGCTCAGCGTCCGCATCACTGCAGACGCCGAACCAATCCGCCTGTCGATCTCCCGATCCCTCCTACCCTCACTCGTGAACAAGACCCCGAGATACTTAAACTCCTCCACATGAGGTAGGACCTCTCCCCCGACCCGGAGTTGGCAAGCCACCCTTTTCCGGTCAAGAACATTGGTCTCAGATTTGGAGGTTCTTTCAATTGTATTGTTCGCATTGAAAGGCGTTTAATGATATGAATCAAACCCATCACCCTGGCGGGGTGCTGCACCCTGGATCCAACCCAGGTTTCAGCTCCCCTGCCCCGCTGGGAGGGTTTGAAACACCGCCATCACCTGCTGGAGCCTGTGGCGGGCTGCTGCGGACCGGATCTGACCCAGGAATGAGCTCCCCTGCCCCGCTGTGAATTAAAAACACACCACCATCACCTGCTGGAGCTGACAGCGGGATACTGCGCCCTGGATCCGACCCAGGTTTAAGCTCTCCCCTCCCTGGGAGGTCTGCTATTGTTGTATGTATCTGTGTGGTGTGTGTGTGTGTGTGTGTATATGGATCTGTGTGTGTGGTGTGTATGTGTGTGTGTATGTATCTGTGTGGTGTGTGTGTGTATGTGTGTGTGTATATGGATCTGTGTGTGTGGTGTGTATGTGTGTGTATATGGATCTGTGTGTGTGGTGTGTATGTGTGTGTATATGGATCTGTGTGTGTGGTGTGTATGTGTGTGTGTATGTATCTGTGTGGTGTGTATGTGTGTGTGTATATGGATCTGTGTGTGTGGTGTGTATGTGTGTGTGTATGTATCTGTGTGGTGTGTGTGTGTGTATGTATCTGTGTGTGTGGTGTGTATGTGTGTGTGTATGTATCTGTGTGGTGTGTGTGTGGTGTGTGTGTGGTGTGTGTATGTATCTGTGTGGTGTGTGTGTGTGTATGTGTGTGTGTATGTATCTGTGTGGTGTGTATGTGTGTGTGTATGTATCTGTGTGGTGTGTATGTGTGTGTGTGTATGTATCTGTGTGGTGTGTGTGTATATGGATCTGTGTGTGTGGTGTGTATGTGTGTGTGTATGTATCTGTGTGGTGTGTATGTGTGTGTGTATGTATCTGTGTGGTGTGTGTGTGTATGTGTGTGTGTATGTATCTGTGTGGTGTGTGTGTGTATATGGATCTGTGTGTGTGGTGTGTATGTGTGTGTGTATGTATCTGTGTGGTGTGTGTGTGTATGTGTGTGTGTATGTATCTGTGTGGTGTGTGTGTGTGTATATGGATCTGTGTGTGTGGTGTGTATGTGTGTGTGTATGTATCTGTGTGGTGTGTATGTGTGGGTGTATGTATCTGTGGTGTGTGTGTGTATGTATCTGTGTGGTGTGTGTGTGTGTATGGATCTGTGTGGTGTGTGTGTGTGTATATGTATCTGTGTGGTGTGTGTGTGTATGTATATATCTGTGTGGTGTGTGTGTGTGTGTGTGTGTATGTATCTGTGTGGTGTGTGTGTGTGTGTGTGTATGTATCTGTGTGGTGTGTGTGTGTGTGTGTGTGTGTGTGTGTGTGTATGTATATGTATCTGTGTGGTATGTGTGTGTGTATGTATCTGTGTGGTGTGTGTGTGTGTGTGTGTGTATGTATATGTATCTGTGTGGTATGTGTGGTGTGTATATGTGTGTGTGTGCGTGTGTGTGTGCGTGTATGTGTATATATGTCGATGGTGTGTGTGTGGCCCATGGTGTGGCCCCGGGGTGTAGGAGGCGGTTGGAACGGGGCCAGCGCGTCTCCTAGGGGGTGCTAGGAGCAGAGACTCCGCCCTCCCCGGTTCCTCCATGGAGCTGCAGGCAGGAAGAAGGAGCACCGCGGTCAAGTGAGCCGTCAATTGTGAGCCGCGGTCAAGCCAGCCGCATCTTATCCGCCGCGAAAATTTCATTGCGCGTTTACAACAGTCTTTACGGTACCACATTTTGAACAGGGAACTGCCCAACTCGTGACAGTCTGGTTAAAGATTCAAAAATTCATAAAAAATCATCCGTCATAGCTGATGTACAACTTTCACCACATCCTTACTCTGGAACACCTACTGTACCTGTGTGCCACATTTCAGACAGATTTACTGTAGAAATCTTCAGATATTAAAGCAAACTTGTATTCAGTCCACACTCGTGACAGTCTGGTTAAAGATTCAAAAATTCATAAAAAATCATCCTTCATAGCTGATGTACAACTTTCACCACATCCTTACTCTGGAACACCTACTGTACCTGTGTGCCACATTTCAGACAGGTTTACTGTAGAAATCTTCAGATATTAAAGCAAACTCATATTCAGTCCACACTCGTGACAGACTCGTTAAAGATTCAAAAATTCAGAAAAAATCATCCTTCATAGCTGATGTACAACTTTCACCACATCCTTACTCTGGAACACCTACTGTACCTGTGTGCCACATTTCAGACAGATTTACTGTAGAAATCTTCAGATATTAAAGCAAACTCATATTCAGTCCACACTCGTGACAGTCTTTTTAAAGATTCAAAAATTCATAAAAAATCATCCGTCATAGCTGATGTACAACTTTCACCACATCCTTACTCTGGAACACCTACTGTACCTGTGTGCCACATTTCAGACAGATTTACTGTAGAAATCTTCAGATATTAAAGCAAACTTATATTCGGTCCACACTTGTGACAGTCTGGTTGCATATTCAAAAATTCATAAAAAATCATCCGTTATGCTGATGTACAACTTTCACCACATCCTTACTCTGGAACACCCACTGTACCTGTGTACCACATTTCAGACAGATTTACTGTAGAAATCTTCAGATATTAAAGCAAACTTGTATTCAGTCCACACTTGTGACAGTGTGGTTGCATATTCAAAAATTCATTAAAAAACATCCTTCATAGCTGATGTACAACTTTCACCACATCCGTACTCTGGAACACCTACTGTACCTGTGTGCCACATTTCAGACAGGTTTACTGTAGAAATCTTCAGATATTAAAGCAAACTCATATTCAGTCCACACTCGTGACAGACTGGTTAAAGATTCAAAAATTCAGAAAAAATCATCCTTCATAGCTGATGTACAACTTTCACCACATCCGTACTCTGGAACACCTACTGTACCTGTGTGCCACATTTCAGACAGATTTACTGTAGAAATCCTCAGATATTAAAGCAAACTCATATTCAGTCCACACTTGTGACAGTCTGGTTGCATATTCAAAAATTCATAAAAAATCATCCTTCATAGCTGATGTACAACTTTCACCACATCCTTACTCTGGAACACCCACTGTACCTGTGTGCCACATTTCAGACAGATTTACTGTAGAAATCCTCAGATATTAAAGCAAACTTATATTCAGTCCACACTCGTGACAGTCTGGTTAAATATTCAAAAATTCATTAAAAAATATTTTTCATAGCTGATGTACAACTTTCACCACATCCTTACTCTGGAACACCTACTCTACCTGTGTGCCACATTTCAGACAGATTTACTGTAGAAATCTTCAGATATTAAAGCAAACACATATTCAGTCCACACTCGTGACAGTCTGGTTAAATATTCAAAAATTCATTAAAAAATATTTTTCATAGCTGATGTACAACTTTCACCACATCCTTACTCTGGACCACCTACTGTACCTGTGTGCCACATTTCAGACAGATTTACTGTAGAATCTTCAGATATTAAAGCAAACTTATATTCGGTCCACACTCGTGACAGTCTGGTTGCATATTCAAAAATTCATTAAAAAACATCCTTCATAGCTGATGTACAACTTTCACCACATCCGTACT